CTGGGATATCGTGTTGTTCAGGTAAGAACATTAGCCAGTGCGGTATAGACATAATCAAACTACAAACGTAAAAGACTGCCGAGGTAATGGTGTGATGTGTGGTTTTTCTTTTCCAGATTCCTCACTTTGAATGGAACTCCATGGAGCTTTCGACACCCCATGCATGGAAGAGGTATCTCAAAAAGAAAATCTTGGGATAAATTTCTTCCTGAAGCCTTTTTTATGGGATAATGACACTTAACAGCAGCTTTTGTGAAGGTCGGAGCAGATTATTTGAACAAAAAGTGTTACTATAGAAAGAGCTCCATGTTTTTAAGTAAATGTGTCAGGCTGGCATGAATATACCACATTCATGTTGAGTGACAGTGAATTATGTGCTCTTGTATTAAATAACTTGAAACAAATAGAATGGGAAGTGATGCCCATTGTCAGTGTTTTATTGGATGGGTAAAGGTTTATAACACAAATTTATCTTCATGGTGTTTTTGGCTTTAAAAAAATAATTTGTTAGTTTTTTTTTTGTCAGATTTTACAATAATTAATCTAAATTCAAATCTGTTCAGTTTATTTATATGGTGCCAATTCACAATAGTTTAAAAAGTTTTCTATCTCAGATGGCATCAAGTCATTGACTAAATGACTAAATGAGCATAAAGTGGAAGAGCTAAAAAAAACTTTCACAGATTATCTGTCTCATACGTCTCATGACGTAGCAAAAACTTTAGTGGCTTTAATTTTATAGTAGCTTGACAAGAAGGAGGGATGTGAGACGTGCAGCAAAAGTCAACAGGCCGAGACTCAAACCCGTGGCGACCATGCCGAAGAACGGAGGTCTCCATACATTGGCCGCGCGCTCAACATAGTGATAATTTTCACACAAAAACATTTAAAAACCCATTAATTTTTATGTAGAAAAGCAGCTGGAAAGGTTTGATTTTAAAGTCAGTCAGGAACTCAGATTTGTCTGAAATATACAAACTTTATTTCAATAAGTGTTAGACTTAAATATGTTTATTTAAGCTAAGTTCTGTTTTTTTTATATAAAAGATTGATAAAAGCTTTCACAACAATATCAAGTTCCCTAAATGTATACCATGAGAAAATATTTCAACATTTTAATCAAACTAAAAGTCAGCATGAATAGTAAAATTATCTCATCATCAAAACTATAAAAACCACCTTCTGCTGGGAGCTTGCAAATAAAATGATCACGACACACAATAATAGCACAACAGTCCCGTGTTACAGTTTGGGCATTCTGGCTGCATTCAAGCGCATGGAGACACACGAGGCTCCAGCTGCGTAACGCATTTCTCTGATCATGCCGCTCCACTGTTTGGAGTCCTCCTCATACCTGAAGCAGGCAATGAAATAACTTAATGATGTATTTAAAAATAAAGAAAGAACTGGTGGGCAGGAGAGAAACCCAAACTTACTGCCAAATGTCAATGACTTCAGTCGGTGCACACTCCTTGTTCTCGTTTTCTACCATGGCAAAGCCTCCCACGGCGTACAGAAACCCTCCACAGCTCACCAGGTTGATTGAACTCCTCTCCTGGGGAAACTCTGTGAAAGGCGACCACCTCCAACAAAACACACAGTGCTGAGCGCTGGTATTTTATTGATTATTATTTTGAAAATTCAGATCGAATATCCTCAAATTAGTAGGAACAGCTATTGCTTGGTCAGTGGATGACAATCTCTAAGCTACTGAAGACTGTTTTTCTTATAAATACTTTAAGTAGAATTTGGTTAAGTCTTTCAAAGTGAAAGTTTATTAAAATCAGTTTTGGTATTTCTAGCTCAAAAAAGACATGACAATATTTTTGTACATATTCTGAAGAGATGATGATCAAAAACAAAGAAAAAAGATTTTCTCATTGATTTGAACATTATTCATTTTATTTAAACATGTTTTTACGTTATTGCATCCAGTCATGTTTGCTTTATTTTGAAGTTTAGTGAACCTTTCAGCTGTTTTTGAGGAATAGTTACTGCAGGTCTTCCTAAGACATGTCAACTTTTTCATTCAGACATTATCTGCTTTGATATTTTTTTTAACATGTTGTTAATTATGGTATATTATTCTTTCATAATGTATTTACTACACTTCATACAATAATAAACAATAGAATTGCCTTTTTGGGATACAAAATCTAACAAGAATCTGACAGAACCTCAGAGATTAATCATCTTTCAAATTGTTTTCTGATGTATGACAAGTCAGAGGTTTGAGAATCATTGCGTATGTCTGCTAATTTTATATATTTAACTGCATAAATTGTGGCAGTCTGCTATTTAAAAAGTGCCTTAGAAGCCATTCCTAACTGGTCCACTATAGCTGACCTCAGTTCATCTCCTAAGCCTTTTAGAAGGCTTTTATTTCTCTGAATGATTCATATATCAGAGTTAAATGGTTAAAACTAAATAAGTGATCTGACACTGAGCTAAGAATTACTGACTTGAATATTTTATAAAAACAGCTAAAATCCAAAGTAGCTCTTTTTGATCACAAGAAACATGAAGGAAGACTTGTAGAAAACAGTGCAATAACTTGAATGTTTTGAATAATAAACATATTTTTAATTAAAACCCAGCACTTACTTGTTGGTCCCAAAGTCATAGGCTTCGCATGCTGCCGTCAGTCCGTCTTCATTGACTCCCCCAGCAACGATAAGCTTCCCTTTGTGGATCACTGCTCCGAACATGGATCTAGGAGTCTTCATGGAAGCAACCTCCTTCCACTCTGACTTCTTGTGGTTGTATGCAAACATCTTATTGGTTGCTTTACTTTTGGGAAAAAGACAAAACATTGTCCAGGTTCGGGTTAATGAAAGTCAAGTTTTAATTCAATGGAAGAAAACAAAATGTCAACTCTGCCACCTTACTTTTCATCGGTTTTTCCTCCCAGGCAGTACACCAAGCCATTCTCAGAGACCACGCAGTGGCCGTGGATTTTTACAGGCAGCTTCTTTGTTTCTGTCCACTTCATTTTTCTAAAAACAGAAGACACAGAAAAGCTTTATGGCTCTCACTAAAATGATATTCAAATGTAAAAAACATGCCAAACCTACTCAGTATCATAGCACAAAACGGTGTCATGGGACTCGTTGGACTGCAAGTCTTTTCCCGCCACAGCAAATATTAGGTTTTCAAATTCCCCCATTGCGAAGAGACACCTGGGGGACGGCATTGGTGGCAGGGCGAGCCATTCAGCAGTGAGGCTGTCCAGCTGAAAAGTATACACGTATTTTAAAAAACTGAGTACTTTATCACTGCTGTTTTAATTGAACAACACTTTCCCACCTGGTAGAAGTAACACTGCAGTGGATTCTCTTTATCCTCCTCATCTACAAACAGTCCTCCAAGCACGTATAGGTTGTTCTTCTTTGTTGTGAGGCTGACATGGTTTCGGGGAATTCGTTCAGACATTGCAGCAAGAAAGCACTCGTTCTCTTGGCCGTCATAGGCCACAGCAGCAGTGTCGTTAATCATGACGATCACGTCTTTTGAGTGCATGCCATACCTGCGATTGTTGTTCAGGTAACCTGGCAGGGTTCCCTCGTCTCCCTCAGCATCACCTGAACCCTTTTTCTTCTCGGGCAGTTTCCCTGCAAATGCTTCCTTTATGACTTTGATCTTTTTGAGGAGTTCTGGGTCAGCCTTGATCAGCTCATCTTTCTCCACTTTTTCCTTGAAGTACTTCTCTGGAAGTAGACGGAAGCGAATGTACTCGAAAGCCTCATCCAAAGATTTTGCTCGCTTTTCTTTATCCTTTCTGATCCACCTCATGAGAGCCTCAAACACAGCTTCTTCTTTTTCAACATTCAATGCATCAGTGCCAATGATGGCAAAGATCTCAGGTGGGGCGAGATCTAAGAAATCCTCATCTTTGGCTATGGTCTCGAAGCGATCGGCTATGTAATCTCTTGCTGCCATGGCCAGCCTGGCACAGTTGAGCATCAGTCCCAGCCTGTAGATGGCAAGGCAACTCTTCTTGGTGAGACTCTTCTGCAGATAGTTCACGCAGACCGTGAACACTGAGGGGATCTGGAAGCGATTTGCAACAGCAAAGATGTCCTGGACGTTGTTGTCGTTGATGTCAATCTCAGCCGAGTACAGGTAATTCACGATTACCTCCATAACATTAGGATCAAGGTTCTCCAAAACAACCTCCTTTCTGTCCTCTTTCTTGCCATCCACAGAGAAGAAAAGCTCCCGGAAATATGGGCTACATGCTGCCAGGATGAGCCTGTGGCTGGGGATGCTTCTGTCCCCAACCTTTAGGACACAGTCAATCAGCTTATTCTCATTCAGCAGCTCTTTGAGTCCGTCCTGCAACAGAGTGCTCTGAAAGAGACGAAGGTCCTCTCTCAGCCCTTGGGCGTCCATTTTCTTCAGACAGGAAGGCTGAAGAGAGCAAACTACAAGCGCACAGGTCTGTAGACGCTTCAATATAACCGTGCCCTCCTAAATATAGCCCGCCAGCCCATCCATGAAGAATTCAGGTTGGCCAAAGTGGAGCTCTCACACAGCTGTCACAAAACCCCTAACAACTGTTAGGTCGTCACCTCTACATTGTTGAGCAGCCACACAGAAATGTCACAATCTTTTTAAATGTATCTGTGGTTTTCTTTTAGAAATGATGACGGTTTTAAAAGGAAAACTTATCAGCTTTAATTTCAATGTTGTATATTATCTCAAATCATGTGGCTGACATCTTCCGTCAAGTATTTTTGGTACAATGAAAGCTTTCCCATGTTGGCTCAGAGTTCATTGATAGCAGTGACAGCCCAGCTTCAGTTTGTGAGATTTGGTGAGACATTTGAAGGGACGTCCTCTAATCAGGAGCCGGGTCGGAGAACTGCAGCCACACCAGGAGATGGCAGCTTATCCTCCATTCTTTAAATGTTAGTACAACTTTGCAATCAGGCCACGCACAGACCTATTTAGTCTGTGGATGTTTAATTAGACGTTAAAAAATGCTCTTCCAACCCCACTGTTTACTTAAATAAATTTTATTCTTAAGAGGCTTTTATAGGGTTGCTAAACATTATTTTTATGTTAATACAACTTTATGACAAACATTTCAGACGTGAGCAGATGAGTGATGGCCAAAACATAGAAACTTACTTCCTTTCTTTTATAAGGAAAGAAGAAGGAAAGGTAGGTAGAGAGGTAGGAAAAAATGAAGAAAGGAAGGAAAACAAGAAATGGAGGAAGAAAGAAAAGACGTTAGGAATAGACGAGAAAGAAATTCCACACTTTGTCGGGTGGCGAGGAAACCCTGTCTGCACAGCATTTAAAAACTGCAACATAAGCTAAACAAACAAAAAAGCATACAATTCAAGTTACTCTTTTTTTTTTTCTACAAAGTATCTACAAATGATCTATGCAACTTTAATATTGGCCTATAAACAATAAATAAATGCACACTTGTCTGTACATAGAGAACAGATGTTTCATGTTGTTTTAGCCTATGACTTCCCACAGCCCCTGAAGCGTGAAACCCTCCTTAAGCTTCTCAATGGCGAGGCCAAGCTCATCGGAAAAAACTGCTTCACGGTCTTGTTGCTGTAACATTACAACAAAGATATCGGGTTTTTGCAATTTTTAAAATGTGCTGAAAACTTGAGTTTATTTCATGAATATATTTACCTTATGCCCATCAGCAAAGTAGGCCTGAAATAAAAACACATAGAGAGGTTATTAAAGTTATTGCAATCAGCAGTGTATTCTCGTTGTTAAGGTAGATCATTGTTGCTGATGAGCAACACAGACAGGAGCACTAAGCAACGTGAACTCGTGTTGGTTTGTCACGCTGGGAAGCATTAGCTCGTAGTTATTCTGAGAGTCTGACAGGCTTTAGACTCCCAGAGGAGTGACGAGTGTGGCGAAGGCCATCAGGCTCACTCACAGTGAACGCATCGGTCTGTTCATCGGGCTCAATTTCCACGTCATCAGGAGGCTGTTCCACAGTCAGTTCTTCCAGCGGCTGGGGCTGAAAACGGCACAATGAGAAACACAGGATATTTCTAGAATACCTTGCAAAACTCTTAATACTTTGCAAGGTATTTAAACGTTTGAACATATCCGAACCGCAAACTTTAAATGATCTTATTAGAATTTTAGAGACTGAAACAAAGTAGGGAGTAATTGTGATGTTCATTGGTAAGTAACCGCATTTTGAAAAGCTTCACAAATAAAACGTGAAAAAGTGTGGCAGGCTTTCACTGCAACTATAGCTGCAACTCTACCAGCTTTGCAAATGCACTTATTAAGTTTTCAAGTTTTACCACATTGGGTTTTATTTCTAGACTTTGAATCATTCTGACATATAAAGATGCTTGGAGTTAAACCGTGTCGTTGCTGCCGTAGCAACATGTTTAAGGCTGTTGTCATTAAAAATTATGCCTAAAACTATACATGTTCGCTTACCTTTTCCTCCATTTCATAATCCACTCCAAAAATTGGGTTTGTAGAGTAAACTTTATGCAAAGAGTTGATTTCTTTGAGAGCATCTTGCAGCTTCTCCACCGGATCAATTTTAAACCCAAGCACATATCCTCCACTCTGAAACGGCAAGGTTGCTATTATTATTATTATTATATCATAAAAGCAAGAAGAGGAAAATCTTTTATTATGAGAACGTCCAAGGAAGTCACCTGTCGGGAACTTTCAATGACCAAAGCCAGGCCAAACTTTGAGTCTCTTATTCTGATGGACCACTTGGAAAGGACAGAAAATTATTAGTTAAATAGGCTCTGAGCTTACAGCGAAGAATCTTTTTGCCATAGTCGCTCGATAACCATACACTTCACCTGATATGTTATTCTTTCTGACAGTCTTTTTAAAGTGTTTATGTTCATCCATGATCCACTTTTAAGTTTCAATCATTTTACAAAGTTGGGGACAGGTTCAGAAAAAGGATTTGCTTTTTAAATGAGATTTTTCTGCTGTAGAATAAGTGTCAGGTTTGCACAGAAAAAAGGAAAACTATTTTGTTTACATTTCTGACATGTTCATGAATAAAATCATTTAAATTCAGGTGTGGTGAACCATGGGAACAAAAACCTGACATTATACATAGTAATCCGAACCCACAGAAGACTACGGCACACTTCACCCATCTCTTCTTCTAAGCTATCAGTGCTTAGTCCTGGATTTTATATTCCTGGATTTTTCACCCTGTCATATATTTATGTCAGAGACTCACTCAATTATTCCTCTAAGAAGTTTTTTTGTGAAGTGCAGATGTCCACTGTAGAGTACATTTATAAATTATATGTTTTTCTTGTGCATGAAATGAACTCCTTGGTTAAGCAGAATCAAGACATCAAAATCTAAACGTACAATCTGCAGGTAAGGAATGCTGACGTTGAAACTCTCGTTCATATTGGCATGCCACACAATCCGAACATTGGTGATAAAGAAGGTTCCCAGGTTACCCTACAAAAGAATATATTCATGTTATACAAAATGTTTTATTTCAAATGGTGGCATACATAGAATCTTGGATACATCTAAATTTGACGTATAGTGTAGTTGTGCTCTCTTTCTGAACAACAGCAGTACCTGATCACTGGAGAGATTCCAGACCCCATTGATTTTATCATATACTTGCTCCTGAGGCAAGAGTCGAAGCTGCTTGTTTTGAATAAGAGCAGCTCGCAGTTTCAGGTCTCGGTACATCTTAGAGGTCTCATAAGCTCTGTTGCGAAACACAAAATGTCAAACTCTGAATAAGGCGCAAAATAAATTTAAAATATAATCCTCCCTTAGTTTTGTTTACCTGTGTACAGCAATGACAGAGGTAAAGAGCCTGGGACTTCCGAGGACCAGGTTGGTAAAAATGAACTCAAATCTTGTGTTGTTGGACTTTGTTAAGATGTAGAGTGCTTCAGTATGACCCCTCAGTTTCTAGAAAACCAAATTAAATTTGGATGTAAATACCACAAGAAATTACTGACAATCCTCAGAAAAGTTCACATGAAACTTTTAGAAAGTGAAAGATAAGGTTACTCACAGAGTGTGCGGTCCTTGTTGTGATGTTAATAATAGTGTTATAACCAACAGCTAAAAAAAAATAACAGAAAACATCACATTTTATTCTTAACAGCCTGTATAAAATAGAAATATTGTAGATAAAAATGTTTTATGAAAAGCTTCTTGAGTCAAATCCTAATAACCCTCACAACATTCAGGAATATTGTTTACCATCCAGACATTTAGTTTTACTCACACAAGTTGACTCTTGGCAGAGCCGAAGAGTGCCAAATGATTCTCAGGTTAGTCACCAATAGCCGTCCTGAAATAGGGAGACATTTCTCATTCTGTGACTCAAATTACACCAACCACGCATTAACGGTACACGGGAATAGCAAAGCCACCTCGTTCTCCGTTATTTCCTTTCGTATCTTCAATTGAGTCCAGACAGTCGATCAACACTTCACCTGGACGGGTTTTCATCTGTCTGTGCACAGGAAGATGATCATAGGTTATTTATTCAGATGTTAGGGGTCAGTGCAGAAACCCTGTGACTCAGAAAAAAGACAACGCTGACATAAAGCTAACATTAAAGACAATGAATCAACTAACAACCAAACACAGTTAATTATGGCAGCTTTTCGTTTTTTGGATTAGCCATCTAGCTGCGTTCTGGAGCTAAGTGAGCTTGCTAGCAATGCTACGGGTGATATTCCCAAATGATTATTAACTCACTGCGCAGTGATGTCAAATCTAACATCTCTGTCTTCCCAGAGAGCGTCTAACGCCGCCGCCATTATCTTTACGCCACAACTCTTAATGTTTCGTGGACATTAACCTCCAAACTGCAACAACAGCAAGACCTAGCTAAAGCCAATCTGAATAATCCTGCAGAGCGTCACAGTCTCCATGGCAACGGACGGAAAGCCTGAGGGATAAACTTCCTTTAACGCGCATTTCTAGAAACAGCAGCGAACGTTGATAAATAATATGACTAACTATGATAAATGTTGCATCAAAAGTAATTTGATGTGTAAATATTCGTTTTTAAATAAAATCATCAATCAAACGAACTTTATTTCTAGGGCAACATAAAGTGGGAGTGCTTTACCAGCAGAATATGCAGCTGATGAAGGAAGACACAAATGATGGAAGAAGTTGATTCAAAAAGGAATCTGAGTTGTGGAGCTGCATGAGGAGCGCTGCGCTCTGACAGCAAACGCAGGGTCGTCTACATGTTCATCGTCACTGATTCCTTTTATTTCCCCCGTGCAGATAAAAGAAGACAACGACTTTTTTGTTATTTAATAATAAAAAATGTAATTTTGGGTGGAGTTTAATTTTTAGTTTTTTGGCTGCCGTCTCTCTCTCTGCTAAGTCGGAAGTCGAAGTGCCATATTTCAGGTTTAAAAAATCTAAATAATTTTGTAAAAGACATTTTAAAGAAAAGTGACTAACCTGTGAGCATGCATTAAATACATTTTTCACTAAGCATTTCATTGTCTTACATGTTTGTCCATAGAGGGGTCACAAGTGGTGCTGGTGCTAAACAGTCATCTTTTTAGACTGGAACGAACCCGGAGTACCCGGAGAAAACCCACCATGAAAACTCATTCAGAAAGACCCTGGGCCGAGAATTGAACCCAGGACCTTCTTGCTACAAGACAACAGTGCAACGAACTGTGCATCTCTGTTTAAGTAACATTCAAATTTATTGAATATGATTGAAAATAATAAAACATTGGAACGTATATGGCGTACTGAAAATGTACAATTTAAGAAATAAAATTTCCTGCTGATCCGGTGGAAAAGGGGCAATGGGGTTTCCGGCTACCGTAATAAAGATATCTCAATTGCAGTAATCAGATTAAAGTTACTTATCCAAATCACTGTTCTTTGCTATTTTCCTTTAAAATGTAATTTTATTTCCTTTATGCGTCTTGGGGAGCGACCGCCGTTTCTAGGCAACAGTTGTCAGCAGCAACAGTTGTCAGCAGCAACAGTTGTCAGCAGCAACAGTTGTCAGCAGCAACAGTTGTCAGCAGCAACAGTTGTCAGCAGCAACAGTTGTCGTGAACAATGGAGGGAGGAGAGATTTTTTTTTAAAACTCTTTATTACTATTATTAACATATACATTAAACATGTAATCGGCTTCAAATGTACATAAAATCTGAAAAACCTGATGAAGCCGATCTCAGCTGCTTCCATACAGACAAAAAGGAGGAAGGAAAATAACAAAATAAAACAAAAAGACATACATTAGGGGTTTTCCAGCAATTTCATGATGATTATCATATCATATAGTTCTGTATCTTGACCTTTGTTGGAGGGAGGAGAGATGCGCATTTTGTTGCTGACAGTCAGGAACTCTTTCTGTCAAGTCCCATTATTATTAGTGACTTTAGGCTTGTTTATTTATTATTACTAAGGTCAGCTACACTGTCGTGGCGGGAACTAAAGGAGAGACGGGAACTAAAACTCGAGCTGAACTGGAGTCCTTGAGTTAAAAGGATTTTCATAACATTTTATTGCTGCACAAATGACATGAGTGAAGACATTACAATCGTAATCCTTTTTTATTGTAACCAGTTTGTTTCTCTTTGCCACAAAAATAATGGGGAGAATATTAACTAGACTATAAAACAATAAAAAAAAAGAAATATAGTCTGAAATTCTCAATGTGTCTATGGGAAACCCATAGACACATTGATGTGTCTATGTGTTTCCCTTATGGGATGTGGAGAAAACTAAAGTGCATTAAGTCTGCATATAAAAAGATTGTACAAAAGCCTCCTTATGGTGTCAACCATTGATTTACTACTAGTTAGTTACTTTTTGTCTCCATGTTGTCCTTAATATTGTTTGCATGTTTAATTTAGAAAAAAAAAGTAAAAGCAGTTTTATATTGAAATCTTATGTTAAAGCTCAGGTGGTGCTTTCAGATCTCAAAAGTGTTTTGAGAAATACCACACTATATATATATATATCCAGCAAATATATATATATATATATATATATATATATATATATATATATATATCCAGCAAATATATATATATATATATATTTAAACCTGCTTCTGGCTTCATTTTCCTAAAATTTAGAGCAGCATTTGATAATCACAGATGCCTTTAAAAATCCCAAAAACATATTATTAAGAAAAGAATTAAGAAACCCAAACAGATATGTAGAAAAAATATATTACAGCAAATATCTCAACATGACTGTCTTGTTGGAAATATGTAACTAAACAGTTGGCATGGAAAGATGTCTGGCTCTGCATTTTCTGTGGTTGTCCCTTTAAATTTATGACGTTTATACCCTAAAAAAAAACAAATAAAATAAAAAGTGTTTTCTAAAATATCATGACAACATATTCAGTCCTGAGGTAAAAAAGTTGGTTAGTTTTGTCAGAGCAGGTTGGAGGATATATTTTCAAACTAATAATTTCTGAAATATATTTAATACTGAACAACATACACTTGTGTATCTGAGGACAGAAATGTTTGAAAAGTGCAAGAAAACTGGTGAATACAAGCGAGTAAACTGGAAATGTTGAGACTCCAGAATAATCACGTCTTTCCAAATTGTCTTCTTATCCGGCTGAAACAGAAACAAATATTTGGTTTTGAACAAAATAAGTAAAAGCCAGAACATGCCTGTTTGATTTGAAATCACTGACAGAGCTCACCTGTTTTTAAAAGAACACAAGTGTTCTTGCATTCATCTTCAGTTTCATAGCGGTTTTCATTCCCACCGCAGCCTCCGTACCAGAACTGTGCACAGGCGTTGGCCTGTTTGTCATAATACCAGCGGATTAAGTAGTTTCTGCAGGTTCCTTGGTCCAAAATGAGATTGCAGCGATGATCAAGAGCAGGGACCTCTGAAAAAGAAATGGGTCACTTCAAAAAATGACAAGGTGTGAATATTATGCTATACATGATTTGCTGAATTCAATTGAATTATAATATTAGCATAGCTGTTTACACAGTTTTTATATCTTAGTCGTTAAGGTTATTCCACAGAAGTATAATTCCCAAACAAAAAATTCTGTGGTAACTTGGCTTAGCTGGAGATTAGGTAATGAGGCTACAAATGTGTAGGTGACGCTGGAACATGTGATATCTTCGATGGGAGGTAAAGGCTTTAGCGTAATCAATAATGACTTTAACTCTAAGAGTGATATGACGGTTTTAACATTATGGTTTAGAGGATACCTGATGTCAACTATCTCTCAAATTATTAGAGTGGTTCTCTATTTATGGATAGGTAATCCTCCAAATCTTCACCATGCAGAAAGAAACTAAAATGCACAACAATAGCAACGAATAAAGCGACACACTTTTCTTGGAATGAGATTTTTGAGAAGAAATGCAGAAATCACCTTTAGGTAAGTCTGGACTCACTACAAGCTTCTGCTTAAAGTCTGACGACACGTTAGACGCTGGTGTTGACAAAGGTGATGAGGATACTGGTTCTGCTGCTGGTGATAAAACTTCCTCCGTGGATGCAGAACTTTTTCTTACAGGTGATGACATTGTGGCTTTGACGACATTGACTATAGATGTCCTGCTACCAGTCTGCACACGAGCCCTCAGGTCTAAATCTTCCCCATCGTCGTCTTCCTCTACCTAAAATCAAATGATACAATAAAATATGTTTCTTGTAGAAATATTTAGTGAGTAAAAAGTTCAGAGGACTGGTACCTGTAGAGGACGGTGATCAGCACTGATGGGCAGCGTAAAAGTGTCACCACGACCTCTGTTGTTGGTTTCTTTTTGACTTTTAACTTCCTTTTCATACCTGTTCCCATGTCCATTGTTTCCATAACCGTTGTTGTCAAACCTATTATATCCGTAGACATACCCTCCGTTGTTGCTGTTCCATGCCCCATTTGGTATGTGATTGTAAATAAGAGCGCCATTTTCATCTTCACAGAACTTGCTGACCAGTTTAGATTCCAGTGCTGAGAAGAGACAAGAAATGTGTCAATTTGGACTGTTTGCACAAACTGCAGGTAAAAAAAATATTGATACTTGACTCAAATCACCACCTGGTAGAGTATTGTAGTCATCAATCAGGTACATGTGTTCAGAGTCTGGGTCAGAGGCTATGAGGTTAAGTTCTCGTAGGAACTCAGCCTGTGTGGGATCAGAAGAATTAACTATTCCCAAAGCATACATCTCAATGTTTGCTGCATGAGCCTCTCGCACTGCTAAGTCAAGTTTGACAGGATCTCGCTTGTCTGTCTGACCGTCAGTGATGACGATGGCCACTTTTTGGACTCCAAACCGAGCGTTCAAGAAAGCCTCCTGAGTCACCTTCCTGATGGCAGTCCCTGTGTAGGTGCCCTCACCCATGTAGGGCATTTTTCGGATCGCTTCCTTTACGTCCTCCTTGGTCAAATAACGAGCCAGGTTGAACTCTAAAAGCACATCCAGACTGTAGAGAACCAGTCCGATCCTGGTGGAATTGCGTCCAACAGTTGTTCTGTCCACCAACCGAGTGACAAAGTCTTTGATGATCTCAAAGTTCTCAGGACCAACGCTCTCTGAGCTGTCGATGACAAACACAAGCTCCATCGGTCTTTCTTTGCACTTGATGCCACATCCTGAAATGCGGAAAGAAGAAAATTTTAATAAAACACAATTAAACTTGAATGCTTGTATTGTTTGTGCTGACTGGAAATATGATTTAAATTAACCTATCTGTCTGCAACAAATAATTCTCTAAGCACAAACCTGAAGGAGCCAAAAGTTTTCAAAAGCAAAACAACAGCCAGATCCCCTCTCAATCAAACAGCAACAACAGAGAAACAATTTGTGTCATTCTGTCTAGACTGGATTTTGTCATTTGTATTTGTGTGTGCTCGTTTTAATTTTCTGCAACATATTTTCTTTTATGCCTTTCCAGTGGTTTTACTTGATGTGTGTGTTTGCTCCACACACAAGAAGTGTCCTGTTGCGTTTACTGGTCCTCAATAAGTAAAACTTTGGGTTTTAGGTCCCAATATTGGGAATCAATACCGAGTGGAATCTGAGGTGTGTGGTTTTGTATTTATAACTCTTGTTTTTGGGCAGGTCATTTACATTATAAAAGCTTAGAAATGAGAGGGTGTACTTTCTTTCATTATGACTGTATTTACAGGATACATAAAAATGACATTTAAGTGACATTCTTACCACATATTTCTTTGATCATCCTAATAATGTCTTCTCTCTGTAAAAGGAAACAAACTTTAAGATCTGAACAGAGTTTTAGTTAAAAATAAAAGCTTTTGGCTGCTTTAGTTAACTTACCGTAAGGCCTGGTTCACCTTTGATCCCTGCTCTCCCCTGTCATTAGAAAACATAAGATTAAAAACAATCTTACACTGCTAGAATAAACAGTTTTATTTCCACCTATAACTAGAGGTGGATGAATGTCTGTATACATACATTTCATACAATTACTTTTTTCCCCATATTTTACCATTTCTCCAGGGACTCCAGGATCACCCATGTCTCCTTTTGTGCCTTTCATTCCCCTCTCTCCCGGTGACCCACGGTCCCCCTGACCCGAAGAACAACACATTTTCAGTATAGGCAAATAAACTGGATATTGATGAACTGTTAAAATATAAATGGTAATCCATTACTTTAGGTCCAGAATATCCTTCTCCTTGGGGCCCTCTGGGTCCAGTCATGCCTTGAGATCCTGGCTCTCCCTGAGATCAGATTTTAAATTAACTTAATTTAACTACAGTCCTCCAAACTTAGAACATAATAAATATAATAAAATTGGAGATATTCTGGAATACCATTCATATTGAGTTACATTAAGTAATTAATTTACCTTTGGACCTTGAATACCTTCTCCTGGGGGTCCAGCTGGACCAATTGGTCCTGGCCTCCCAATATTACCCTAATATTAAGAAGATATAAAATTTATGAATCCTGAAAAATATTTAGATACAGTATACTAGAACTGTATTCGTTTTATAATAAAAATATTAACAAGGACTCAGAAATGTAAGTCGATTCTAAAAACTACCCCACGTTTGAAAATGGACATATAAACAAATGTTCTGTGTCTTATTGACTTTTGCCCCGTCGAACCCGCGACGTCCGTGTCAAGGACTGAGGCCTAATTCTGACTAAATATTTAAATATTCCTTTGGCAGAACGCATTTAAATCCACTGGCTTCCTAGCATTGACCTGTTATTAAGGCGCCAAGAAAGATTTTCAGATAGAGTTGAGGTCAGAGGTTGGAGAAGCCTTTTCTATAGGATTAGATAGCTACTCCTAACCCAGTTCTGACATGAATTCTGATATGGGATATGAGTCACAATCATCACTTATCATACGTTTCAATGATGGTATGTTACCCGATCAACCCACCAAGACTTTGAAATTACTACACTTTGCAATAAATTCCATAAAACATTCTTATCCACATTGGCAGAATACATTTGTTTTATAATCTCACATAGGATTAACTATATCGTCCGTCTTATTCAATTTGACACTGTCTGAATTGAAATAAAAGTCAAAGTAAAGATAACTAGATCCTTTTGTTAATTTTCTACTTTGTGAAGCTAGTTTTGAGTTAGTTGTTGATGCAGCTGTAAGGAATGAGATGTTCCTTACTGGTGGTCCCAGTAAGCCCTCGCCTGGTTGACCGGGCAAACCTGGTAGGCCTCTAAAGCCAACATCACCCTGAAACAGAGATGAGGATTCCCATGAGGACGGCAGAAACACAAATCAGGGGAGGAACTGTTCAGATCACAAAACGTCATGGTGACAAACCTTTGGACCAGGAATTCCCACTCCCTCTGGTCCAGGCTCACCTGGTAACCCTGGCACACCTGGAGCACCCTGGACACACAAAATGAGGGTTTTTCTAAAAGTTCTGTTTGCAGACATTGCACAGTTTTATGTTTTGGTAAATGACAATACCACAGGGCCTGGGATGCCTTCACCCTTTGGCCCAACTGGACCCATTACACCTGTAAGACCTCGATCACCCTGATAACAGAAAAAAAACACTGATGAAAATTGACATCATTTTGTAGACAGCTCTGTGGAAAAGCATATCATATATTAAGTGATGGCATTTACCTTGGGACCAGGTAGACCCAGACCCGTTTCCCCAATAGGACCAGGAGGACCAGCAGGACCAACTTCACCCTGAACACAATGAAACACAAAAGCCAAACTGATTACTTAAACTAGCTTTTTCATTCCATCTTTGCCATCGGGTTTTATTTGACAGTTTCGTTCTTTGCTGCCAAAATCCATGTTCAGATCCCTATTCTACCTTTGGACCTGATATGGACCGTCCCGGCTGCCCCGACATGCCCTGTGGACCTGGAATTCCACGTTCACCCTGAAAGAAGAGAATTGGCAAGAGAACTCTGATTTAATTATGTATGTGTGAAGAAACATTTGTCCTGCCAACATCATTAAAAACTACATTTTTGGCTCTGCTTGATTGTATAGCATAAATCTTCACCAACTGCAAATTCATGATATTTTATCAGGGATGACAAGCAAAGAAATTCAAAGTTGTCAAATGTTTCTATCCAAATACAACAATATATTTGTAGTCTTGCGATATGTCTCTCACTTTTGGTCCAGAAGGTCCTGGAATCCCAGGAGGACCATGTAGTCCCCGAATCCCTCTCAGACCCTGGTCGCCCTAAAACAGAGAACACCAGGCATGATCGAAGTGAAATCATTTTTAATCCTACACAAGAATTAATAACGAAACATACCTTCTCTCCTTGAATGCCAATGCCTTGAGCTCCCTCGGGACCTCTTGAACCAGATAATCCAGGTTCCCCCTTAATTGAGTGAACAATGAGCTCTTTTAATAGTGGCCAAAACAAATGTAGTGACCCACTGTGCAACTTGCTTTACCTTCTGTCCTGGAGCTCCATCTTCTCCTGGAAGACCAGGCAGACCTCCTGGTCCTGGGGCTCCAGGTTCTCCCTACGATTTCAGTCAGATACATTTCAGATTTTATTTTCCAAATACGTTGGGAAATATGAGCAGACTTTTCATGGTGATGAAAACTTTAGTCACGAGTAGTGATTTAAATACCTTTGGACCAGGTTCACCAATGCCTCTTTCTCCAGGAGCTCCCTGCTCTCCTGGTAAGCCTTGGTCACCCTGAAAGGAAAATGTTATAAATACACAGTGGATATGGGATCAATCGGAGGTTTGCACCCCCATTAAGTAGAATAGACACCCTCTTGAAAGCTCAATGTGTAGAGTGGGGTAGAGTTTATCCATGTGGCGGCAACATTTTTCTAGTTTTAACAAAACGTATTAGTTGATTTAGTTCAGGAATCAAAATCAGAAATGTCCAAATCAGTGCAATATAAAATGGCTGATATGGGATGTCCCTGCTTAAACTCAACTCATAATAACTGCTGTGTCTGTAATATGTTTTCTGCTGCATTGCCAGCGAGCTGTAGGCCAATTAAAAATAATTACGGTCTCATTTTGTGGAACAGTTTGCTAAACTGCTGTAGATATACTCTTTGACTAATTTTTCTAGATTGGCCAGTGCTGGGAAGATTCACAATGTGTTCCATATTTTCTTTATTTACATTATAAATATATATCTGTGATAGGTTTTTGCTGTTTAGCTTTACATAACAGAAGCAAACAAAATACTGACAGCACAATATGAATGTTTTTCAAACTTTTTTTTTTAACAACTCTTTCTTTTTTTGTTGCACAAAGCAACACCCTGAAGAAGAGAATTGGCAAGAGAACTCTGATTGAATTATGTATGTGTGAAGAAACATTTGTCCTGCCAACATCATTAAAAAGTACATTTGAACAAACCTTAGCTCCAGATAATCCTTCTCCTGGAACTCCTCTGACTCCTGGTGGGCCCCTTGGTCCCTCGACTCCCTGCATAATAACATTGATTTAATTCTCAAAACATCATTCGCTAAAATGGGTGTGTTTCTTTTAGTTATAAGGTAGCCTTAGCAACATTTAATCAAATTGAATTGAGCTTACCTTTTCTCCCTGAATGCCCACCCCTGTCTCTCCAGCTGGCCCGGGAAAACCTGGAGGTCCCAGTTCACCCTGGAGGTAAAGCACCATGATTAAGACAATTCTTATCAGCGGTGGATGACTTACTAGTTTTTATGTACATTTCTGTCCTAAGGCGCATACACCATGGGATGTCCTGCCTCGGAAAACTGAAGGTTCTCCTCTCCAAAGTTTATGGTTTTGGACCAGTCTGCAGTTCTCAGCTGGAACTTATTACCACAGTTCAAAGAAGAAGTCTGACAAAAGGCCCATCATTGCTGAAATTCAAAGGTTGGACGATGGCACTCAGAGCATGCCTCCTAGACAGTTTTCATTTTAAAATAAGACACTTTTCCACCCTCAAAAATCAACTTTGCTAGAACTCTCTTTTTAACATAATGAACATCGTAAATATTTCAGAATGAAATGTTTAGCCTCTTAAGTGTACTCTATTTTATTCTCAAATTGTGACATCAGTGGAGGTGCAATCTTGCCTTGATTAAATAGTCAATAAAATAGTAACTATACTGCCAAATGGAATAAGAAAATGGTAAAATAAAAGTTGAGAATTATTTTTTTTGATAAGTTGTGGCATAAATTGATTCTATTAGCATTTTAACTCTTTTCCCTAAGTTCACATGGACTTTTTACCTTTTCATCAGTCTCGTTGTTGATACTCTTTACTTCATGTTGAAATGGAGTGTCCTTTCTGATTTATTATAAAACATATTATAGTCTGAAACTGTATCAAACAGCCAATCAGCTGGAATGTACTAATAGATTGAAAAGTTAAGAAGCCAAATTCTATACTTGGTTTCAGAATCATGTCTCAGAAAAATGTTAGTGCATGTAAGACTTTGAAACTAAAACATGCAGATAAACGGACCCATTTCCTTTATTGGATAATAATAAGTCAGAAAGGTTGCCAAGCACAGAAAAATACAATTGTAATATTTTAAATGTATTGCACATTTAAAATGTGACTAACTTTAATGACAAAGGTTCTTTTATGTGAATTACTATAGTTGTTTAAAATTACTAAGTCTTACAGTGCAGTTTGCAACAAGTTGTACTTGCTGCAACTTTCCCACAGCAACCAGATGTTAAAGGTGGTAAACAACCATCCAGCTTTGCTTTAATGTTATAGTAGAATATCCTGTAGCCTGTGGGATCTTTAGGGATTCCCCTTAATTTTCAGAAAGTGTACTGTTACAGTTAACTCCACTCATTAAAAGCATTTACAACCCACCTTGTCTCCTTTGATGCTTACACCCTGCTGGCCCCTCAGCCCCCTCGGTCCTGAGAGCCCTCGATCCCCCTGCAGAAAAATAAACCAGGTGAATCCCATCAATTTACATCACAGCATTTATAAATATGGCCATGTGGAAGCAAATGAGCTAAAAGTTTGTCCTGGTGGGGTAACTTAATGACTCCGTGTTAATTGCCTGTTCTTGAATCCTTCTGATTTAAGAACAGTCTGGATAAAAAGTGGGACCAGCATGGAAAACAGATTTTCTTAAAACAATTTTGAGACCAAGCTAAATCCTACTGGGTCTCATATCATTAGCCTGTTCTGAAGCTAAATTTACTAATATCCAATCCAACCTAGGCAATCTGTGTGAAATCCACACACAGACATTGTGGGAACATTTGATTATTTACAATTAAATAAAACTTTTACATTTCTTAATGGAAAATGTTCAACAATCACACACATATACTACTGTTAATTAACCCACAAATCGCAACAGTAAGATGGTAGCATTATTTTATAACAATGCACAATACTTCCCCTAATTTGTAGAAACTTTCTAAGTCATCTCAGTTCCTTTCTATGACTTTACCAGGTATTTTGTGGAACCTTCAATGTAATTTTCAGTGAATTATCAGATTCTGTCTTGGAACTGACAAATAATTTTTACGACGCTCACCAGATGTTTTCCAGAACTTAAAATGTACATTCTGAAAACTTGACAGAACCTTATTGAACCTTTCACAAAATCTAGCAGCTACATTCACCTAACTTACAGGTTTCTGGAACATACCAGGCGTTATCATGAAACTTTGGTGAAACTTGCTGGGTACCTTCAGGAACTGGGTTCAATTATGAAAGACACTTTCATGGATCTTCGGCTGAACTTATAAGTTGTGTTCTTCAAAAGTTTTATGAAAGTTCCTGCTAAATTTTCATGAATACTGTTCTGCATAGGCCTGAACCCCCTCAGCCAAATTATCAACAAGACTGGCTATGGATACCGACTCAAAAATGGGGCCAACATCAGTCACCTTCTCTACATGGATGACATCAAGCTGTACGCCAAGAGTGAGCGAGACATCGACTCACTGATCCACACCACCAGGATCTACAGCACTGACATTGGGATGTCATTCGGACCAGAGAAGTGTGGTCGGCTGATCACAAAGAGGGGGAAGGTGATCCACACAGAAGGAGTCTCACTCCCACAAGGAACAATAGCAGACATAGAGGACAGTTACAAGTACCTAGGTATACTACAAGCAAATGGCAACCTCGATGAGGCCACCAGGAAAGGAGCCACAGCTAAATACCTCCAACGAATAAGGCAAGTCCTGAGAAGCCAGCTCAATGGCAAGAACAAAATCCGTGCGATAAACAGCTATGCCCTGCCAGTAATCAGATACCCTGCTGGAATAATCAGCTGGCCAAAGGAGGAGATAAAAGCCACAGATATTAAGACTAGAAAGCTACTAACCATGCATGGAGGGTTCCATCCCAAATCCAGCACCCTGAGACTGTACACGAGCCGCAAGGAAGGAGGCAGAGGACTAGTGAGTGTGAGAACCACTGTCCAGGACGAAACAACTAAGATCCATAAATACATCAGGGACAAAGCCTCAACAGACAATGTGCTCAGTGAATGTCTCAGACAACAGGGAACAGAGGTTGAGGTGCCAGAGATACCATCATGGGAGGACAAGCCCCTACATGGGATGTACCACCAGCAAATAACCCAAGTGGCTGATATCAGTAAATCCTACCAATGGCTGGAAAAAGCTGGACTCAAGGACAGCACAGAGGCCCTCATCCTGGCAGCCCAGGAACAGGCCCTAAACACCAGAGCAATAGAGGCCCAGATCTACCACACCAGACAAGACCCAAGGTGTAGGTTGTGCAAGGAGGCCCCTGAGACAGTCCAGCACATCACAGCAGGGTGCAAGATACTGGCAGGGAAAGCGTACATGGAGCGACATAACCAAGTGGCAGGCATAGTGTACAGAAACATCTGTGCAGAATATGGACTGGAAACCCCGAGATCAAAGTGGGAAACACCCCCAAAGGTGGTGGAGAACGCCAGAGCTAAGATCCTGTGGGACTTCCAGATCCAGACAGACAAAATGGTAATGGCGAACCAACCAGACATTGTCGTAGTGGATAAACAACAGAGGAAAGCCGTTGTGGTAGATGTAGCAATACCAAGTGATTGCAACATCAGGAAAAAGGAGCACGAGAAACTGGAGAAATACCAGGGCCTCAGGGAAGAACTGGAGAGGGCCTGGAAGGTGAAGACCACAGTGGTGCCTGTGGTCATCGGGGCCCTCGGGGCAGTAACCCCCAAACTGGAGCAGTGGCTACAACAGATCCCAGGAACAACATCAGACATCTCAGTCCAGAAATGTGCAGTCCTTGGCACAGCCAAGATACTGCGCAGAACCCTCAAGCTCCCAGGCCTCTGGTAGAGGACCCGAGCTCAGAGGATAAGAACCACCCGCGGTGGGTGAGAAGGGAATTTTTTTATATATATATATATATATATATATATATATATATATATCTTTTAAAGTTGAAGTAAGTGCTTTGCTACCAGGTGTGCATTTCTGTCCTAAATGTTGAATGGATTGTCTTCTTTGTGTTTCAGGAGGCAGCATGCTGTGGCTTGCTTGGATCAGTTAGAAACAGAAACATTACCAAGAGACTCAGCATTTGAGCTGTGAATGAGTCAATCAATCAATGAGTGAGCTGGAACAACGGCTAATCATGACAGACTGGAGAATGGTTCTCTCTCAATTAAATTCCATCTTTCACAGTTGAAGCTTTTTAATATCTTTATGTCCTATATGATGTTCAGTCTAGAGTTTACTTCAATGGTTGATAACAACAGTTTTTCTTTGTGCCTTAGTTAGCTAACCTCAACTGAAAACATATTTTTATCAGTACAACATGTGAAAGTCACTGCATTTTTCTGTCATCCCTAAAAACAACGAGTTTTACTATTTTTCTATCTAATACGCAGCATTTCAAAATAACCTTGGGCCCAGGAAGTCCTTCTCCTTGGGGTCCTTTTTCCCCTTGCACGCCTTGTTGTCCTTGGGGTCCCTGTAAAGAAAGTAAAAATGTACATGTCACCCACACAGTAACAATAAAATGTACAATATTAGTCTCAAGCAGAGTTGCAAATTGTGCGTTGTAACTTACAGGAGGACCAGGCTCTCCCACACCATGAGGACCAGGAGGACCTGGTCGGCCCTGGAACCCCATGTCACCCTACGGATTAATAAAAACATATCAATTGACTCTCAATGACAATAACTGATCACAAATATTTGCCACATATTTGCCACAAAATGTTCATATAGACTACATATGATGACTTACTTTTGGACCAGGTAGACCAATACCAGTTTCTCCTTGGATTCCAGGAGGACCCAGTAGGCCTCGTTCTCCCTGGAATTAAAAAAACGAAACAGTTTAACAAGTTTTAAAAATATCTTTGAGTCTAAATGCTTGGCTTTAGATTCATTAATAGGTAACACAAAATAAGCAGTTAACCTGTTGACTGGAGTCGATAACAGTAAGGGTGTTTTCATTTAGAAAAAAAACATATCAGTCAGTAGCGAGCTGTTAATAACAGATTTGCACCATTTTAGAAGTTCACCAATTTAGAAACGCAAAATGCAAGCACTAATTTATGAATGACTGAAATATCAACACGTTTTACAGGCGGTAAATACATAGAAATGGAGGATTATTTACATAGACACAATAGGTATGAAGTACTGTGCATGTTAACTTTTACTTTGTCCTCAATATGCGTTTCACACAAGAGGATTATTGATGACACGCCACCTCTGACCTCCTGTTTCTGGGCATATGATTACCTGTTTTTCTGTACATCACTGCTTCATGTAAATGTGATTATGATTGACAAGTTTATGAAATACTCTCAGATAAATGAGATTGGGGGATATTCAATACAGCAGAAACTTATTTTCTGTATTTTCCCCATTTATTAAAAATGTAAATGTGACTGTGAGTAGTGTAATGATTTCAACCTTTTATGCTATAAAATTATATGTCATTATGCATATTATCAATAGGCTTTTATAGTATAATGATAAGTATTTATGAGGTATATTCAATCATACAATAGCTCATTCAATGGGGAGGAACAAAAATCATACAAGAAAACTTCTAAGACTCCAGTTAATCCTAATCCTAATACAGATATTTTTATGGCCAGACAGACCACACAGACTTCCCATCCAAGGCCGTAAAAGTAAGCCATGTTTGAGAGACTGACATTGCTGCAGGGACTTTTTTTTTGCTCTGTATTTAGTTTCAGGAACAGGCCAAAAGAGATCCTGCATTCAATGTGATGATTGTAGTAGTGAGTCAGGATGGGGGTAAGGAGGGTTTACAAGTGTTTTGCTTTGGGGTTAATACCAAAGTATTACAGCTTCAAAACTCTTGTTCAAACATATCATAAAAAGGAAATGCGGAGCAGAGGTTGCAACATATATGTGGGATGAGCAGAGTAAAATTAGTCAAATAAGAGACTAACCTGCTTTCCCTGAGGCCCCTGAGGTCCAATGTCTCCTTGTGGTCCTGGTAATCCCTGGGCAGAAAATCAAACAAGAATTTATAGAACGGTCAAAGTGTTTTCATTTCACATGTAATTTTTTTTCCATTACTAATACCAAGTAAAAATACAGTGAGTAATTTATTTTGGTCCATAATATTTCATTTTATAGTTCGAAGGGATACATTTATACCATATACATTTTATTATCATATTTTTTCAACAACAAATATAAGAAGTAAAGGACATAGAAAAAGTATTAGTGTCGTATGAAGTGCACACCTGCAAACCTCTTGGCCCTCTTGTTCCAATTGAGCCTTCTGGGCCCTGAAGCACATCATACAGACAAAAGAGTTAACTCAATCAAAGTGCAAGGAGAGAAGAAAAACAATCAGCAAACTGTACATTTAGCAAGTATCAACAACACTCTCATACCCTATCTCCTTTGATTCCTGGAGTGCCGCACTCACCCCTCTCACCCTGTGCACAAATTACAAATATTAAACATGTATGTATATGCATATATGGAAACGACTTTTCTCACATTTTTTTTGATTAATCTGAATACCTTATCTCCTTTGTAACCAGGCTTACCCTACAGATAAAAATAATCATTGATTTTAATGACAGGATGTTGAGTGTCAGGAAAATAATCCATTTTGTTCATGAGTTACAGAATTTACCTCAGTTCCTTCTCGCCCAGGTATTCCACTTAATCCTGCTTCTCCCTGATGAAAGAGAGACATTACCTTTGGTAATAACTGCTTCTTTTTTTTTAAATGCACATCTCCCACTGCATTTCATAATTTAACATCCAGGTTTTCTTTTTCCTTCAAGTATGCATCGTTTGTGATGTTCAACCTTTATTTTTTAAATTTCTGAGTGATAATGTACATAACATATAATACAGAGCATATCCAAAAATAGATAGAAACAGAACAGAAGATGTTCATCAAAATATGATAAAACAAAACAAAAAAAAAAAATCCACTTAACTTTAAATTGCATCAACAGATTGGCGAGGGAATTTTTAAGTACCTTAAACCTGCATTCTTTATAATGACCAACAGAGGGCGACTTCAGGAGTTTCAAATTTTAAACTCTAAATGTAATTTTTGATTTGACTTTGAAGTGCTGAAACTTAAGTCATACTAACTTAAATGTTCACATATTTTTGAAGTGGTTATGAAGGAATCTCTGAGTCATGAGATGTAATATAGATTTGTAAATACTTTTCTGTCTCTTGTAAAAAACAAGTTTTGAAAATGAGTTTTGTACGTGTCTTTAATGGATAGTTGTGTAAGTGAAGTTTTGTTAAAGGCTTACGAACGAATCTTCAAAAAGATCTTTATTTGTTTAACCAAAAACTGCCAGTAGTTCGAAGATATTAGCTAATCCCATATTATTACAACTTTATTTTAATGATTACTTTATTTTTGTAATATTACGAATTTATTTTGGTAATTTTATCAAAAGCAGCCCTATAATTAAATCATTGAAATTTTTTGAACCCTTAAAGCCTTTCCACATTGTCATTTTCATGTAGTTATTTACATAAGAAATATTAGTTGTTGGCGCACCAATATTTGTTGGTGCGCCAACAAAGATCTTCCAGAGAAACATTTAAAGAGAACCGAACAGGTTTCCACTCAAAGTAACAAGTACAAATAGAAAATTAAATGAATGGAGAATAAAATATGCATTCAAACAGGTGCAACATTGATTTTTGCACTGCTTTATTTTGATGTCAGTTATCTTATCTACAAATGGGAGATAAGATAACTTGGAGGAGTTGGAGTGGGTTGCACCACCACCTCCCTCCATTGGGGGTGGATATAATGATTGGCTTATTAGTAAAGGCCTAATTCTAAAAGGCAATTGGCTAAACCACAACAACATGAGGTTTAGTTTAGAAAAGAGAGTAGAGGTCTGCTGTGGTATTGGGCCCTGTTGGCATAATGTAAGCCAACTATTTTGGATCTATGATAAATAAAATATAAATCCAGGGAATATGTACAAGTAAAACATTTGCTATCAATTACCTTTTCACAAAAACTCATAAAAAAAATTATATTTAGTTTATTTAAGATCCATCCGTTCATCCATCCATCAACCCCAACACTTCCTTTGACTGGCAAGTAAAACAATTTTTTTGATTGACATCATACATAGTAATTTTTCTTCCATGGAACATCTTTCAGGTGTATAATTCTAATTATCACATCTTGTTAACAAGCCTTTGACAGATTCTATATGAGCTTGTTTTCACTGCCAGTTGGGGAATTTCCCAACTCAAAGCAACACACCTTTTGCCCTTTCTGCCCTGGAGCTCCATCATCACCGGGGCGACCTTTCTTACCCTGAGGAAAGGAACAAAATCGGGGGTCAAAATTCAGCGATTTTCTGTGTTTGACATTCTGTTCGTTTGTTGATAAGAGCTCAAATGGCTTTAACAATTGATGGCTTGATCCTAAGACCCATAAATTAAGTCATGAAGAGGATTTGCAAAGTGGAAGTTCGACTCACTCTAGACAGGTATTGTTGACAGCACTCTGTGACTGTAACAAGACACGAGCTATCTTATCCAAACACTGAGCGGTTTCTGGTCTGAGCTGCACCTGGCCCACAAATGCATCTGTTTCTATCAACCAGACATTGCTTCCTGGTGGTCATTAAACTAACGAGAGCAATTATGAGAGCCTCTATTGTCTGGGTGGAGGAATCTGAAGAATTTCTCTGAGGTGAGGGCACCTGGACACTCAGCTGTCAGTTAACCTCAGAGCTTAGCCATAACTGAGCTGTTTATTTAAGGAGGGGATGGGACTGAATTCGAGTCTAGTTAACAGTGAAAATAAGCATTCCCAATAATTAGATTACTGTGTCTTTATCATCCCCAAATGGCACAACAGGCTTAGCAGATAGAAAATAACGTTACAATACCAAAGCTTGTGTGTTAACAAGATTGCTCACGTCAACATAAACCTTGTGTGTCAATGCATTTTTAGTTAAAACATGCTTATTCTTTATTCATTGAAGTTTCAAACAGTAGGTTTAGTATCCAGAAATTTTCAGTAAGCGTAGCAATATTTCATAATAATATAATTCAAACAAAAATAATTAGCAAAGTGTAGCAAAGCTATTCCAAAAAGTTTTTGTTTTTTTTAAACTTCTTGAAGAAAATGTAACAGAGTAAATGTAGCTAGTTAGTATGTAAACGGTATTTATGACATTTGTGACATCTAATCAGACCGAACTTGACTGTTTTGCAGACTTTCTGTAAACAGTATTGGGACTGGAATTGCAGCAAAAGTCATTTCTAAAAACCATTGTCTGTAAGGAGTTGAAGAGAAAAGCACAACACACTTTTTAGAGTTATGAGTACACATTTGATAAATATGCACTACATTTTTAGTACATACATTCATAATAAAAAACACAAGGTTTAGGATCATAAAGAAAATAATATTTGGAAAAATGTGGCTTTTGTAAAGATAAATGCTCACCGCAGGCCCGCTGGGCCCTCGTTCTCCTTTCTCACAAGCACATCTCTGAGCCAAGGGACACTTGGAAAAACAAAACAAAACACATTTTAGTCAAATCTATCGACACTGCATCAAATGTACATTTTTCCTCAATTTAAATTGGGAATGTACTTACTCCTTCATCAGCAAGGCCAGTCTGAAATGAAAAAGTAATCAAGTAAAATGCAACGTTTTCAGGTAGAAAGTTATATTTACTCCACTCATCTAGATGATGTTGGTCACAAAAGGAGGAATTTGTCAGAGATAATTTTAAAATTGAAGGCACAAGTTTGTACAAGCCATGCAATCATAAAAGAAAAAAAGTGATGTAAATTCTACTTGTTCATACAAAGCAGTTGCAGAGCATATGAAATCTGTCTCCCAAGTGTTTGGTCAGATAAGTCAAACAGATTTTGTGTAGCTGTCGAGATCAACATAAATCTTGTTCTGGGTGGCACATTCTTTCATTTGTTTCTCCTGAGCATTGTCAAATACCTGAACATGCCTGTCCATGTGTACATTCTGGAGAGACGCTGGTTTAAACTCAATACAACCTTTTTTCTTTGTGTGTGTTGTCAGGTGACTGGCAAGAACTCGTACTCACTACTTCAGTGAAGATTGTTTGCAGTATGTCTTCGTCTTGCAGATTGTGGAGGAAGCGCGAGGCTGGGGAGCTGGCCAGCAGGCGGAGTTCAGCTATGTTGGTCGGCTCCTTGGCCGTCCCAGTGATGCCCAGAGCAAAGAACTTGATGCCCTGGTTCTTGGCATCAGCAATGGCAGAAAAAATATCCGGGTTTCTTGGGTGTGAAACGCCGTCTGTGAGCAACACCACCACTTTGATGCTTCCAACTCTGGATTCCTCCTGGTACATCTTTGTCATATTGGTGATTGCATAGGTGGTGTAGGTGCCATGTCCAATGTAAACTATAGGCCTGATCCGGTTCTTGAAGTTTTCGGGTCCCTTCCAGTCTTTAAAGGTTTGCTCCATGATAACATGACTGCTGTACTGCAGCAAGGCCACCCTGGAACTCAAGCTGCGGCCGCTTGGCAGCCGTGCTCCTTGGAGTCTGTCCACCATGTCCATTGCAAAACGCTTTTCCTGCTCATGATTGTCTTTCGCGCTCTCAGAACTGTCCAACAAGAAGGAAAGCTCCAGGCTGCAGTCTTCATCCAGGATGGCTATGAGGAAAAAAACAAAACAAATTTGCAGTAATAACTTAAGGTTTTTGCAGATTAACTAAACATGACTGGCAAATCCACCACTTAATGTAGCAGAGGCCTAGATAAACATAGAGTTATACAGCCGAGTAGATACTATAGTGTTTCAAAATATCCAGTATGGGAAAACCTTAAGGTGATTATGACTTTAAAATATTTTAGGATAACAAACCAATTTGTTTGATAATCTTTTAATAAAACTGTCATCAGAATGGTTTCTTGGCCATTTTATTGCACAATAAAAGATAGAAAATTTCACCCTATTTAACATGTTAAGATTCACATTTTATAAATTCTATTAACAATTTGCTGTTGATGTATCTGAGTTAAGTAAAGACAGACATAAAACAATCTGATGTACACAAATAAAAGACAATATACACCACAACTTAATTCGAAATAGTAACTAAAGTTTATTCATTTTAACATATATTAAGAGTTTGCTGATCTATAAGAAGCCTGAGGGAAGTGGTTTTACACTTAATTTAGGGCCTAATTTGACAGAAGAAAGAAAATGAAAAGTTGAATTCAAGGTCTTAGAAATAGCTTTCAACACCAGACCAACAATGGATTGCCTCACTGACTGATTGGACTGCACATGAACTTTTTTAGTTTGAGAAATGGCAGCTTTTGTTTTGGCTAGAATATCCACTTACTAGCTGTTGGTTTTCAGCTAAGATCTTTTTGGATTTCTAGATTGAGCTGTGGATTCAGAGTCTAGTTGCATACAAAGAAAAACCCTTCTCAAGAAGGCTGCCAAGTGAATAGAGGGGATATCAAATAGTCAAATGACTTCATGTAAAAAATAAATAAACATAATATATGATGCAAACAAAACCATTTGATGCTACTGGAAAATGATGGTCCAGTCTGACTGGGTGGTGCAGGACTTTAGTTTCAGCCTTTACAGCTCCATGGGAGACGTTGTTATTAGAGGCTGCTTAATCAAAGACAGGTGGAAACTGGAGATACGTCATCTTAGAGAGTATATAAAATAATGGATTAGTTAAATTTTTTCAAGTGACTGAATTGTTTTCCACTATAATAATCTCTATAAGTAAACAGACAGGTTCATGACATTTAAGGTGTAACACATTATTATTCAACAAAGAGTTAATGACTAATTATAGATTATTAAAGTCCTTTGAATTTCTGAATTAGCACAATTTCTTCCATATAATAGGAACTTTCTCAGATTTTTACATACATTCGAACATCTGAAAAATGAAACTATTATACTGACCTAAATGTTTAGATGGGACATTTTAAATACTAAATAATAAAAGGTCAAATCTGAGGTGTTTCTGAGGCCTACAACATAGATAAATGATATTGATGTTGTCCTGTAGCAGCTGTCTGAAGCCTTTTTCTGATTTTCATCAAATTTCTCACCCTGTCCATCATGGATGCTTGCAGCTATCGGCCTGGCTCTGGATTTCTTGTATGTTTTTCTGTCCTCGGAAAAGCCTTGAGCCCAAACGCTGGAGATTGATGTGACCAGCAGCACTGATGTGAAATAGGGCAGCATCCTGGCCCCTGAGGTGAGAGGGACACCTGATCTGAAACCAAACAGCTTTACAAATCCAGGTACATCAAAACATATTGGTAAGAAACAGCAAATTGCACCCTGAAAAAAGTATAACAATAATCTGCACAACAACTCACTCTTTCAAAGGTGTTCAATTTTCCAGTTCTTCTGCTTCCTGTCAAATTGCGAACTTGAGAGATGAAGCAGAGGGTCAGCACAGATTGTTGGCCAACTGTGCCCTGCGACGGCAGCAGACACTCTGAGAGAAGAGAGTGAAAGAACCAGAGATGCTCCCTCCTCCTTCATAAGGAGACAGATCTTGTGGAGTCGTGCCAAGACTCCTGTTATTGCCTCAGGGCAGAATAAAGGCTGTAGAGATGAGTTGCTAAGACTAAAAAAAACAATGTATGTTTGCTGAGAGAGGTGTTTTAAATCCTCCCAGTGAATGTGGCTGCAGATGTACACATTTGCAAGTCAAAAACACATTTTTAAGTCATAGTCATCACCTTGTTTAATTGGAATACCACAGGTTTTTGACACCTTTAAGTTACAGAGCATGTTTGAGCTCTTGCCAGACAAACCAACACCACCTCTGTGTCCGATGGATTTGTTTGGAGAAAACTGAACCTCACAATGGAGTTTAAGAGCTGAGATACAAAACAGTATTAAGTCCACAGTTTGGAACAGTTTGAAGTTCAGAGGTCAATGGAAAAGAGCTGGCCTACTTTGGTTTCCACCCAGGACTTTGGAACAACCATAACAGCTCTGGGTGACAAAATGGGGGTGATCTAAGGTCAAATAACTTTATACTCCAGTTTGAATATTAAGCAATGGCCACCAGAGTGCATAAAAATGTTGTTCCAAACTCAAGGTCTACACATCAAAGCTATCGGGATGTTTTGGGATTATAACACAAAAATTGAATGAGGTCTTGGAAAATAATCAGTGAAAGTATGTAATGTAATTAGTTTAATCAGCATTTAAATCAAAAGACGTTTTGCACCAGTAGGTGAGTGGCATGCAAATTATTTTCAGCAGGTAAATTACTGCAACCTGCAGGCAACTCTCCACCCTCCTGACCCTGAAGAATGACCATCGGACCATTCAGTGGTCCAGTTGACCTTTAAGTGACCTCTTCCTGGAGTGTTTGAAGATGAGCTGGGTCCTGTGCAGACTGGCAGAAAGTTCATGGAGGCTTCTTCTGCCTATGGTGCTCACGATGAAGAGGCTTTGTGTTGGAGAGCCCCCGGCGACAAGTAATTAAGACTTTCTGACACAAAGGAATGTTGCACTCAATGACAGTTCAGGATAAAAAAAAAACAATCCCTCAATATTTTTGTTCCACTGACAAAGATCAAAAATGTACATGTAGGGCTTTTTGTAAGTATTTTTCTGTTCCTTTGTAGGCATCAATGAATTACCACCGATATTTTTGTGGTGGCAACATTCAGCCTTGTTTGCTATAGTTCCAGGTCTTGTATTTTTTCATAAGGGGTTATGTATTTTCCAGGAACATAGTGCCATTCTGTAGCACAATTAAGTAACTATGTTACCCTCAGTTGTGCTGTGTAAATCAAACATGATCTTGAAAGACATTTTACTTCTCAAATGGACAAAATTGCGCTTTTGTCTCTTTAAGAAGCTCCTGTATTTACGGACACAGTATCACAAAAATGTTCACCCAATAACAATATAACATGATATATAACTCAGACACATTAATTCTACATAATACCACACATTCGAAGCTCCTCTGGCAGAGGAACATTCATGAATGTGATTTTCCTTTAAGACTGCGAATATTTGTAAAGTTTCTTATCCAGGAACAATGAATCATACTAAGTGGGTGTTCTATTCCCATTCTTATTAAAAAGTAGAAATTAAATAAAAACATATCGTGGTACAAAAAATATGAGAAAGCATTTATTATGTCTAAGTTAAGTAAACATTCTTTTTGAACGATATATATTTTTTTATTAGGAATTAGTAAGAAAAAAACACTGTCATATACATAGTGCAGAGTTTCAACCTATAATATGGCGAAGTTTTTGATTTAAGTCCTTCTCCTGTGTCAGCAGGTTGTTGCTGTGTTCCTTGTAAGCATCAAACTCCTGTAGAAATACCACACAGTCAGCACTTTGTTAGCCTTAAATTAAAGCTTTGTGGTAAAACCAACCTTGTTCAGCTTCTGCAGCTCTGCCAAGGATTTGTCCAGAGCAATCTGGAGGGACTTCACTCGTGTGTCTGCATCCACTGCTTTTGCATCTGATGCAAACCTGAGGACAGTTAAGATTACATTAATAAACACACCTCAGATAATAGAGATGGAACCATAATAATATGAGGTCTCAAAGATGATTACATATTATTTCTGGTTTAACAAGATGGCATGAGAGTCTTCATATTGAGAGGATGTATTGGGAAATTCTATAAAGATGCAAAAATGGGATTCCTCTCTCACCCCTAAAGTGTGGGCCCCTGCAGCTCCTCTAAATATGCCTCTTGGCTGCTTTTCTGATTAATGCTCTCCTTTAGTCAGTTTGGGCAGACAATCACATCTCTGTGGGTTTGTGTTTGTGTTTCTTCTATTTTCAATGAATTAAATACAGTCTGACTCGGCTTACTCATTTATTTTCTACTACCAGTTGTATACACTTGGTTTTATTTAGAAGTTACGGAGGGATGAATACATAAAGTTTCAATAAAATTAATTGCAATTTGTGATTTTATTGTGAGAAATGCTCACATAAATACTTTTGCAGGGCACTGTATAGTACAAACACAACATTAACTCACTTATTTCATTGATCTAGTGATAAACCAGTGAACTTCAGCAGAGTGGAAACACTGAAATGAATTTTACCTTTCCAGTGCTTCAATTTTGGCTTTTTCCTCATTTTTCCATTTGGTTTCCAGCTCACAGATTTTTTCCTGCTTTTGCTGTATGGAAGATGAGTTTGTATGTAAAGTGAACACTTCATGATTTTATTTGTTGCAAATATTAGTATTTTATTCATAACAAATAATCTTAATTTACCTGGATTGATTTGCCTCTTTCAATAGAAATGTCCAATAATTTCTTTCTTTCACTATTTAGATGTGCTATGGTTTCTTTTAAGCTCGATTCCTTCAAAGCGTGTTCTTCTAGAGCTTCTGAAAGTTTTAGCTTCAAATCTGGACGTTTAGACAAAAACAAACTTTATACAAGTACTGTTGCATTGCTTGGACTTTAAAAATGAACAGAGTTATGTACCTTTACAACATTCCTCAGCATTTTTGTGCTGATTTTGAGAATCAAGCAACTGTTCTAGAAGAGACATCTCTTTGACTTTATGCTGGATTGCTTGTTCTTTCAGGTTTGACTCAATTTCGGCGATTCTCTCACTTTAGATTTAAGATGATATGTTCAGGGATAGCAATAAAGAAGAGCAGGTCAAATAAAAACAGCATAAAATAGATGATGAGAGCTTAAATTATTATTCCCCCCCATCAAAAAAAACCCAGTTGTTTAGTTGTTAGAAACTACAGACCATAATGAATTAAGTCAAAGGCTCCCTGTTTTCATAAATCCACATATTTTACCTTTGCAATGAGAGAGAAAAACATACATTATGCTTTAGTAGGCTGGGGATGCAAATCATTGATATATATTTTATGAATCTGATTAATTTAATGAGAAACAAGCAAAAAAAAAATACCTGAATTCCTGTTCATCAGAGGTACATTTATCGCTCAGCAGCTTATTTTCTTGTAGCAGGTTTTTAACCAACATTTCTTTATCATGTAGTTTCTGTGAGAAGAGTGAATCATTTTCCAACTGCAGCCGCTTGTTTTCCACCTTTAGCTCCACGTTCTGGTTTTTGTGCTCCTCCATGAAATGAATGATTCCCTGATTATTGGCCGCCAGATCTGTGAATCTACTTTTTAACACATCTGCTCTTTTTCTTTCATCCTCTAGTTCTTTCTGGCAGAGGGCTAGTTGGTCCTCAAGTTCAGAGTTAATTTGCTGAAGTGCTTGATATCGCAGAAGCGTTTCATCGGCTCTTTTTTTCAGTGAGTAGATCAAGGTAGACTGCTCGTCTATCCTGGACCACAGCATTTCACTGCTGTCTTTGACGTCAGAATTTTGTGGATCTGTATTTGATGGCTGATTACCGTCTACATTCTGGGGAAAATAAGAAAAACAACCCTGGGTTAAAAACATGTCAATAGTATCCACATTCATGGTGATTCATCTAAAGACAGACTATTTAATTATTGTTGTTACTTTTCCAAAAAGCACTGAAATTTGCATTCTTTAGTAAAACTACACATCACATTTTTCTCTTTTGGCTATTGTTTTAAGTCTAAATAATTTACACTTAAAGAACTGTGGAAACAAAATGAACTAGGATAGAACAGGGACTTATTTTATTAGGTGCTGCAGACATTAAAAACAAGGGGACCTGAGGAAAAATATAGATTTTATTGATGCTCGTTTGTTTTCTTTTGGTGTTATTTTTGCGTTTTTAATTGATATGCTGTTCTAATACAGAAAATACTTGTACTAGATGTTCTAACTGAAAACAACATCCATTTTCCTTGTGTGGTGTTTTCCCAACAGCTCTTTTTGTTTTGTTTTGTTTGTTTGTTTTTTCTTTCAAGTTATACACTTGAACATCCCCACAGATAACGTTTAAAACACACTCAGTTTGGAAGATAATAATTTAATCCAATATTTGATATTTCCAGATTTCACAAACACAGGAAAGATTCCCAGGTATCTTTAACTGAAGAACTGCTTTGGCAACTGTTGCTAGTTGTCGCTCACTGCTCATCAAACTACTGTTCGCTAATATTGGTTTGAATGGACCTTTTTACCTACCTCCATATTGATTTCGCTCTTCTCTAAGACGCCTTTCGAGCTTTTATGAGGACTCGTCACGATATGCTCCTGAAAAAGTCTAATTTTATGCTAGATTTTCCCTCAACTGGACTACAGCGAGTTCACCAAGTGCACGGTTGCTGGTAGCAACCGCTCTGTTTTGTTTTAATGGTAGATTACAAACTGGTTTGGGGAAATACCGCCACCTGTCGGACCCGAGAATGTAGGGCAGAATCTAACGCGTCGCGTCACAAAAATATCAATCCTACAAAATGTAATTTAAAAAAAAAGCCGGAATTAATTCAGTTTTCATGGTAACTTCAACCTCAAGACTATATAGAACCAAAGTTGTCGACAGATGGAGAAATTATCCCGTGAAAATAAAA